TTTTGTCAACATATTCCGATTAAAAATCATATGATTTGTTTCTCTGGTGTCATTTATCCATATTTTTCTGTTTTCTGACACTAAGAAAGATTTACCTGCAACATTGACTGAATTGACATCAACCTCTTCGATATTTGATTTTTCATGGTCCAATATCTACAAGATCTTGTCATATTGATCCTTGGTAAAAGTACACCCTTGAAGTAGAAGTCTAGCTTCTTTCTCACCCTGACCTGACCTTACCTGACCTGCTTCCTATGTAATAATTATTTTTGACACACTTTTGTCCCATCCCGATGTTGGCACACTAGTGTTCACATTGAAACAAATCCGAATTGATTACTATATTAATAAGAACAAAACATGATTACAACTTTAGAATAATAACTACAACTCTCAGCTGTATTACAATGAAAATATTGAAACTACAAGTAACTAAAGGATAGAGATAAGAGTGAGATGAGAAGTTTAGAATTTAGAAAGAAGATGAGATAGACAAACGTTTCTTCACCAAAATGCATAATCCTCTAAAACCACAGATACAACCATTTAAACTATGCTCAACCTGGATCCCAAGAAAAACTAGTATTGGACTATCTAATTTTCGGGCCTCTTTGTGGGTTACCCTCACGCCCAACACTTTAGCCAGCCGTGTTTACAACACATACCATATGGGAAACTAGCCTGACAATAGCATGTGGTACTGTATAATCTAAATCACTTGTATTTCCCTACTAAAAACGAAGCCACCGAAAAAAAGAAGAAGTTAATTTCTCAATTTTCTTATTGTTAATAAACATATATATATTGAGATAATTAGTGTTAGAACCACTAGGTTAGTTGCTAATGAACCAAATATTAATTTCTTTTACTTCTTTAAATTTTAAACACTAAATAAATTTTTTGACTATCCCAACAAACTAAAAACTTATCAAACAAACTAAATCCAAAAAAATAAATAATAATACCATCAAGCAGGGGCAGATCTACATGGAGGTGAGGGGTTCACCCAAATTCCCTTTGCTGGAAAATTATATTGTATATATAAGATTAAATTGTAGTTTTATGAGTATATATATTAAAATGAACCCTCTCACCACATGTAAAGAGGTTAACTCGGTAGTCAAGGGGTTCAAAAATTTATCTCAATGTCTTGGGTTCAATTTCGTGCGACAATAGTTTCCTCCATTTCTTTACTTTGCAAAATCAATTAGCAACTGAGATGGGCTCAATATTTGGGCTCAAAATCTCAGTCCAATAAAAAACTTTGTTATTTTTGGGCTGAAACTTTATTAAACTTACATAAATCTCATAGTATAAAGAGTAAATTGGGAAATTTTTCAAAAGAGCAATATTTTAACTTTTAGTGGGACTCCTTAGCAACAGTTTCATTAATTATTAAAAATGTCATTATTTTAGTTTGTTAAGGGATTAGTTATGTGTTTATTTATTTTGATTAATTTTAAAGAATACAAATAATTAATAACAGAATAGAGAAAATCATGGAACAAAAAAAAATCAAAAGAGGTAAAAAAAAATTTAAATACAAATCAGTTACGTTTTGAAAAGAGCATAAATAGTCATGTTTCCATCGAGCGTTTTTTTGCTTTCTTCTTAAGAACATCAAAAAAAAAATTAAAATAATTTAGTTTGTCTTCCGAATCATTCATCTAATAACTTTCAAAACTTCTTCAAGTTGAATACGACATATTTTTGAAACAGAATTTTTCAAAATTGACAACTATAAATTTGTCGCATCCAGTGAACAATCGAAAAACAATCAGGTATTTTTTTTTACTTTTTTATTTGTTTGGATGAGATATTTGTATATGTCGAGTACAAGAGTGTTGTTATTTTTCTGATTGAATCACTGAAATCTTTGTATGCATTGGGATTTATAGCTTTTTTCGGATGTTTTGTATCCAAATTATGATGTATAACGAATGAAATTGTTTTTTTTTTTAGTTTAGTAGCTGTTTTTTCTATTTGAATGCATACAATAATTTGTATCCCATTAAGTTAATGTAACTAATTGATCATGAACTATATGTTGAATACAACAATATATGAATACAAAAATGAGATGAAAATACAAAGTTATAAATACAAAGTGAGATTGAATATAAAGTTGTGAATACAAAAGAAATTAAATACTCTCTTCATTTGAAATACAAAGTGACTTTGAAAGGTAAAGTAGGCACATAAAATACAAAACTTGTTGGTATACAATTAGGTTGAATACAAAACAAAAGAGAAATACAAACTTGTTCACATATAAATTGAGATTGAAATACATAATGAATACCCAATAAAATACAAAATTGTTAGCATACAGTTAGGATGAATACAAATTAAAAAGGAAACACAAACATGTTGGTATACTAATTGAGATTGAAATACAATGCAACCCTTGGGTAATACACAAATCAAATGAGGGAAATTCCCCAAAATTTTGAATATTATTTGATATACCTCTAGTAATTCTGATTGAATCAGTCATTGTAGACAATCAGATGTTTTCCCTAAAATCTAAAACCCTAAAAGCAAATTTTGATATTATCAAATTTTAAAATGTATTAAATATCAAACAAAACAAACATATATATGAATTTCTAGAATCTACAAAATCTGAAAAATTAAAAGAAGAACAAAAAAAAAATTGAAATTAACAAATATATGATGAATATTTAAACAAAATCACATAAAAATTGGAAAATTTGACTGAAAATCCGTAATGTATAGAATCAATGATTTAAACATCAAATAAAAAAAAACAAAATTGATAATGGAAATTACCTTGCCAACCGAGAAATCTGCTTGAATTAATAAAGAGATTTCGTTTAACAATAAAGAAAATTTCTTGATGAACAACAATTTAGCACTTTGAAGAAAGATAAACTTGAAACATGAAAGGTGGGGAAGAAACGTGAAAGTTGGGGAAGAAATGTGAATGGTGATGAAAAAAGGTTAATGGTATTGGTTTAATTTATTTTTTTCACTTTAAACGGTTATTGATATATAATTTGGTCTAATATAGGACTCTTTCCATAAATAAATTAATTTAAAATACTAAAATCTGAATACATATTATTTTATGAAAATATTGTCATTCTGCCATTTTAAATAAATATTTTAAAGTGTTGTTATTTTGACTAATTATGTTAGGTATTATGACTTAATTGCTAATTTTCCCTAAATTAAATCATATTCATACTCTTTTCTAATTTACAAAAATCCCCTAAAATATGAGTCATTCGGAAACATCCCAATATGGATGATACATCCCAATATCACTAGTTCTTGAACACGATGTTACATGTGTATTTCACGTTAAATAGTATATAAATACTTTAATTCAAGAATTTGAATTAAATTTTTTAGCCTCATAAATATACAAGTTTTTTATAGACAATTAAATTAAAGAAATCTAAAAAGTGAGAAAACACACACATACACAAATAAAAAACAAAAAACAAAAAATATTTAAAATAATAATAATAAATCAAGATAACTTATCTTTGATAATGGGAAAATTCATTTTGTTGGTAAGTTAAAACTTTTCTTTGAAAATTTATAAGTATTATTTTTACAATAAATCTTTAGTTTTACAGATAAAAATCTTCATTTTTATAAATAAGAAATTTAACATTATCATTTTTTAAAATTTTTTGTAAGTGAACAAGAAATGCTAATTAATTCCTCCGTGATAACAAGTAAAAATAATCTAAATATTATTAATAGTAATATTAGGGTGTGTTCGGTAGGAAGGTAAATATTTTCTAGAAAATAAGTGAATTTTTTACTTAGTTTTTTTTTTTTTTTGTGTTTAGTACATAACAATATATATTATATTAATCTAAAATTATTTATACATAATCTAGACAAATACTTCAAAAGATGAGGATGAATATAAGTGTGGGAGGTGGAGGGGATGTGGATAACAAGGGTGGGGACGTGGGGTGAAAATGAAGTGTAAGGGGGCGGAGATGGTGATCATGGAGGTGAGGTGCGTTTGAGATGTTATTGAAAACATCAACAAATTTAAAGTTATAACCTTAAATTCAAACTTTAAAATCGATATTATGTTTTTTTTTAATGTGATTGATTTTCATAATATTTATTTATAATGTATACCTAATCGATAAACTTTTTATGTTTTTATAATTTATAGATCATCACTAGCCCATGTATTTTCACTACTAAAAGCGAATTACTTAATTTTCTTTACTTTAATTTAAAAATATATATTGAGATCACTCATGACACAATGCTAGGTTAATTGATAATAAACCAAATATTATTTTTATTTATTTCTTCAAATTTTAAACACTCTTAACAATTATTTTTTTGACTATCCCAACAACCTAAAAACTTTTCAAACAGACGAAATCCAGAATTCTAAAAATGAAAAAATAAAAATAAAATACCAACAAGGATGATAATTAAAACAACCACCTTCTTTTTTTGAATAATAAAACAAAGAAACACAGCCAACTCAATTTATTTAAATCACGTAGAAAAGAAACCACAGACAACAGCGCAGCCAATTTCTACAACACCACACAAACAAAAGTATTCCCTCTTACGTGTGGACTTTAGATTATATTACGTATAAACCAAGCAAAGATCTGTTCAAAGTGTGTACACACTACACATATATTACTTCCTTCGTTTCATATTATTTGGCCCGATTACTTAATTAAAAGCATATTCTATTAAATTAATTTTACTAATAATATTTTAAAATTTAATATTTAACACTATGAGTACTAATATAATCATTTAATTAATATTATAAGATAAAATATTTATTTTTGATATAGACGAAGTAGCTACCTTATACGTTGACACCTAAAAAGTCAAAAGTCAATAATTTCAATTTTCTACCGATTATTTGGTATATACGATGTATAAAAGCTCAACAACTTATTGTACACCTTCCCTCACCTAATCATATCCCTTTTCCCATTTGATTTTCCGTTTCGAATTAGTAGCCTTTATAATCTCAAACCGACGCCCGCACTTTCCACCTTTTATACCAAACTATAACAAACAAACGCTCTCTCTCTATATTTTTGTGTTTGGGAATCAGTGAGTTTGTTGGAGAAATGCAGGCGAGGTGGGAGTCATCACAGTCTCCGAGTTTCAATAGTTACTCTAATAAGAATTTGGCTGAAATTGCTGATAGAGTTGTGCAAGAGTTCCGGGCTGAAAATGGAACAGATGAGGAATTTTTGTTGATGATGATGGAGGTTTGAGTTGCTTTGAGAGTGGAGGAAGATTGAATGAGAAAGAGGAGGAACAAGGAAATGAAGATGAAGATGAATTTGAGTTTTCATTTGTAAAACAGTCTGAAATTTCACCTGTTGCGGCTGATGAAATCTTCTATAATGGACAGATCCGTCCAATTTACCCGCTTTTCAATAGGGATTTATTGTCGGATTTCATGAATGGTAGATCTAATTCGAATTCAACGTCGGAGGAGATTTCTTCTGCTGGACCGAAATCAATTAGGCTTCCGTTACGGAAGCTTTTCATGGAAGAAGAGCGAGAAGCTAACTTCTCGTGCTCGTCATCGGAAGCCGATGATCTGGAAGGGATTCCTGAGGGAACGTACTGCACGTGGAGGCCTAAACCGGAGGAAAAATCTGCCGGAAGTTGTAAGAAGAGCAGCTCCACAGGCTCCTCAAAACGCTGGAAGTTTCGTGACCTCCTCTACCGGAGCAATAGCGACGGTAAGGATACTTTCGTCTTTTTGACTCCTTCGTTCAGAAAGAAGGAAAACAAAGCAGAGAAGACGACGATTGATAATGCACCAAAAGTTACCGCAAAATCAAAGGGAATTCCAGTGGCTGATGGTTACCCGGCGATGCATTACGTGAAGAACGGAGGCGGCGAGAAAAGGAAAACATACTTACCGTACAGGCAAGATCTAGTCGGATTTTTCGCTAACACGAACGGAACGAGTCGGAATGTAATGCCATTGTGATGTGAATACGTGATTAATTAATTAAGCTCCTTATTAATTATGATTACGTAGTTGATTTGCTGGTTTTGGAGTGATCATGTAAGGATTTAGATTGATTAAATTAGAGTGTAAATGATGATTAGATCATGAATCGATTGTCTGTAAATATCTGGATAAGTTTTGTCCTTATCCCATTTGATGAATTATAAATGAAATTTTCGTACTAGTATAAATTATTTCTTAATTCCATTTAATAATAATCTTGAAACTTATTTAAATCTATCTGTATTTGCTATTTTGCTTGTTTTTTTTTTCAAACCCCTCGCAGGAGCTCTCATCTTTGCTCTCGACTCGAACTTATAGCCTTAACGTTGGAAGTGAATGATGTTTATCATCCGAGCAACTCTCTCTTGTCAAAAGTTGGAAGTGAAGGATGTTTATCATCTGAGCAACTCTCTCTTGTCAAAGGTTGGAAGTGAATGATGTTTATCATCCGAGCAACTTCCTCTTGATTGTCAGTATTTGCTTGTTTGCTTTCTTCTCAGGAAATAATTTAGAAAATTAATGTAGTTTCTCGAAGGGATTGAATTGTCTAACTTTCAGATAGTACCCTCATTGCCAAGCAAAACATAAATTAATAATCTGTGTAGGGCACAATTCATGATCGTGAGAGCAAGAAAGGAAAAAAAAAGGGTGTTACTAGACGTAATATTTAGGGAAAATGGTTCGGAATATATCCAAATTTTGACCGAAATTGTTGTAACAATTCCAAACTTTGCCCTACCCAAAGTTTTGGATGTTACAACAATTTTGATTATATTTAAGACTTTTTTCCCTAATATTTATGCAAGTTGTTGTGGACCTTATAATAATGGCATATATGGAGGTTACACATTTTATGTGGTGATCAATTGTGTTTAAATAATTCTACCATGTGAAAAAGACTTCCATCCAATCTTATATCAAACGTTCAACTCTACTAACCTCTAACGTATAAATTGAATTCAAAATTCAGTTATCGCTATTCTAAAATGCAAAATTCATAAAGATCAATTTCTAAATTCGTATTAGTTAAAGTTGTATGCTTATACATACACACATGAAGTCTTAAATTCAAGCATGAATTTGAGAGTAGGCAAAATTGTCGATTCGAATTAGGTATAAATCTATGTATATAACAGGTGTATCTGTCCGGACCTTACGACATATAACCGTCCATGTGAACGTATCCCAAGCCGATGTACTTAGCTTACCGTTTTCCCTTCCACAATCTATGGAGCTTGCATATAAAAATCCATTAATTAATTTTGATATACGGTAAATAACAGTTCAGTACTCTCTTCGTCCCATATTAGTTATTTACGTTAATAAAAAATAGTTTTCTCAATTTACAAAATAATAGAATTAATATAGGCATTTTATCAAAACTATTCCCTATTAAATGATGTCTTGAAAAATAAGTTTTTAATGGTAATGATAAAACATGAAAAAAAATTATTGTTTTTTTTTATATCAAAAATGACAAGTAAAAATGAAAATTTATTTTAGAAATAAGTGACAAGTAAAAGTGAACGGAGGGAGTAATAAGGAAAGGAGAGAGTTAATAATCAAATAATCAATGTGAACAACCAAAAGAATGTCATTGATGATTGCAGATTAGAATGTCGGGAGGCTTATGTTAATTACTGTGATTTGTACATTAATGATACTAATATTTGGTCATCAACTACCCAATCAATGTAAGATTTCTTGCAAGCAAGGTAAAGCTTTTCTTAAATAATGGATTTTTATTAATTTTAAGGAATATCAAATGTTCATTTTCTTTCTTTCTAGAAGTGAAAAAGTCAATCGGGATATTACGAGGAAGTTAATCTCAATTAAATTACTATTTTAATATGCAGTACTCCCTCCGTTTCATATTAGTTGATCATTTTTCTTTTTTCACGCATGTTAAGTAATCATAAATAAGAAGATGGTTTTACTAATTCACCTCTTAAGAACTTCTTTGAAACTTTACAAATAAGTATGAACACTTTCCAAAAGAATTAATTGCAAGGATAATATGAAAAAAAAATCAATTAATATTTTCTTGATTTAATAAGGTGATCATCTATATGGAATAACTATTTTTAATATACTATCAACCGTATTATTATTCTCAACACGAAAATGATTTGGAAAACTACTTCCACCTTTGATTGAAGATTGATTTGGAAAATGGAACCTTCGAATATGTCTTCTCATCTTGAGAATTGCGATGTTTATCAGACTTTTATTAGATATCTAGAAAAAATGGAATATAATTTAACATATGGAGACTTTGTTATAAGATAAGAATTAAGACGTTTTATTATTTGAAGTTGACAATCAAATATTATATTCATGTCCTTGTTATGTAACATGTAAAAATCGTTTGGTTTATGAACAAAATTATTTTGAACGCTTAGTCCTGAAAATATAATTCTGAAATTAGTATATTTCACTTAAGATATGAATATCATATAATATTGAACTTTAGTCTCAATTCAAACTATGTTTGATGAGGAAATTTGTAATATAAAAACATGTTAAATAGGTTTTATGTGTGTAAATCTAAATTAGATTGAGCAAATGAATTTTGTGTAGGTTTTAGCTTCTTTATATATATATAAAAAAATTGGAATCTCAGAATAATCCGCAACTGCTATAATTTTATTACAACCTTTGCTATTCGAATGAGCACTATGTATTAAACAGTTTATACGCACTAGATAAATCCCACGGTGTAATACCATACAAACCACACCGAACTTCTTAGACTGGGCCAGAAAAATCCTCATATATCTTTCTTTCCCTTTTTTTGTCATGTGTTGTCGTGCCAAGCTTAAGCATGAAGCTTTGTTTATTTTCTAAAAGTAATCTTACTCTTTCTAATTTTTCTTTAGTTTTATTGGTTGTTGCTGCTTGGTACTCCTTCGTTACAATTTACGTGATATTTTTTACTTTTTTAAAATCAACTAATTAATTTTTAAAATAAAATTGAATTAGATTCAATTCATACTTTTTCCATTTTAATATAAATTAGTTATTTAATTTTAACTTGACATATAACTTTTAAAATTTAATGAAGACTTTTGAATTGAATTTGTGATCTTAAATTAAAGATCTTCATTTGTTTTAATTTGTTTATCTTACATTCCTTTTTAATCAATTTTAAAATAATGATTTTTTCCCCTTTTGACAATTTTCTAATTATAACTTTCACGTGACATGCTCAAGACCACATATTAAAGGATATCTTAGTACATTATATATATTTTTAACTTAAGAACACAAAATTAAAAAAATCTTTTTATATTTTTAAACTCCATAACAAACTAAAATCAGATGAACAAAATAAACAAAAAAAAAAGTATAAGCTATCTATTCTTCTCACATCAATTTTATTTTTCTTTAGGTTTATTGGTTGTTGTAGCTTCTTATTATTAGCTTTAATAAATACATAATTCGTCTTAAAATATTTTTAAATTTTTTTTATTAAGATAACATTTACTTTTAAGTTCTTCCCAAAGACTCAAGTCTGTGGTGAGGACCAGAAAAAAGTAGTGTATGTGGATGATTGTATAGTGATTTGTGGGTCATATGATTACAGTGATGCCAAACCTTTAGCAGCTGACAAAGTTGGATCCAACCAGACAATAATAATCTCTAAAAAAAGATTGGGAAATCCTTTTTCTCCTTTTTCACCCAAATAAAAGATCATATTTGTATTGAAGTCTGATTATTTTGAATTTATATTGTATCCTTTGTTCGAGAATAAATTTTAAATTTGAAATTGTTCAAGAAGTAGAATTTCAAATTGCAAAATTGGGATTTTAATTCTTTTTAAAATGTAAAATTTGACTAATAAATTTATATTTTTATTAAAAAAATTCATATTCAATATAAATAGATAGTTCGTACCATGTGGAAATATTAAATTAAAAAATAACTAGATTACTATTATTGATTTTTTAAATTAGTGATTTTTTGTAAAATTATGTACGTTTGAAATCACGTAATAACATGAAATCGCAAATATTTATTCATAAAGAAACATGGATACATGTAATGTATTAATGTGGCGCATCATCGTATTTTAATACCTTATTTATGAATTATGATTACTTGAAAAGATAGTATAATAGTTGATTTTTTTTTTATAGTTTTCACACAATATGAGGTTTTCATGTTTATTGAAAAAAAATACAAATTAAAAATTCTAAATTACATATTCAAACAGAATTTAACTTCACATCAATACAATTTCAAATCATACCAAACGGGCCCTTATAATTATTCATTTCTCTGTTTTTTTCTTTTTGTGCTTTTATTATTAGAAAATAGAAATCAAAGAGCTTACTTAATTTGTTTCTCTAGAAACACAATTATTTGCATCTTTATTCAGAAATCATCCTTCCCTTTTGTTTATTTCTGTTTTATTCCTTCACCAAAATTCTTTGTTTTATTCAGAAAAAGGAAACCATTATTTTCCTTTTTCTTTTTTTTGGTAGTCCGTTCATTCAACGTCCTTAATTAGCATCACTGCAAAAGCTTCCATTAAGTATATTTTGGAAAAAATGTGCAAAGTGTCCTGTGATAGACCGATAGTAATGCTAATTTTTCGGGGCTCCGAATTTGAATTTAGTCAGATTCTAATGTAAGTATTAAAATGGAACATAAAAAATTGGTTTGAATCAGATGTTAGTTGATTTATTTGGTTATTTGATGAACATGAATTAAGTTAAAATTCTTCTCTGTCTCTCCATCTTAATTTTCATTATACCGTTTAATTAAAATTTATGGTCTAGAAAAACTTCTTAATTTTTTGTATGGCTATAAATTATTTAATTAAGAATTAAAAAAAGTTATTAATAGTTTTCAATTACAGAAAAATGATTTTTATTTGGACAGTTAAATTAAGCATAAGTGGTACACTTCATATATCGAGTATCATTGTAGCTTTGTTTACTAGTGATTGGAAGAAAACAATCCCAAAATATGGAGGGCCTAAAATTTTTAAATCTTCCACATAATGGGGTAAGTAGAGAAGTAGTCTCTTTTTAATTGAAAAAAGCGTAAATTGCCAAGATAAAAATGTCATATTCTCATTGGCATAAAGAAAAATGGCATGGAAGCAGACATATATATGAGTCACTTTTATAATGGTTAGGAGTATATGTGAATCACTTTTATAACGAATAATATATTAGCTCTAAATAATAAAATTGAGGGG